TACNGTCGCATTTCTTCGTTTTTCCTTGGTTTCAATTCCGATTGACAGATACGCCACACAGCTGATAGGTCTTTTCATCACCTTTTATAAACGTTTTGATCTCTTCTCAGTGATTGAAAATCTATCTTTTCCATGAGCCACTTCAGTAAAGCAAATCACATCACATTAATTTTGACTTTAATCAGCAGCAAAACAGCTCAGCATTATCTTCATACGCTTGTAATTAGGGCCGTAACCAGAAAAAATTATGATTGAGGCTCTGTCCATGGTTTAATTCTCTTCCTAGTTATTTAGAAAAAATTATGATTGAGGCTATGTCCATGATTTAATTCTCTTCCCAGGTATTTAGCATTGTTTCACTTTTCTTCTTCAAAACAAAAACAAAAAACTGAAGCAAGTGCTTCGGTTTGCCTCATACTGGCTACAGCCCTGGTGTTAGATATAATTCTGACATTCAAAGCGACGTCGCAAAAACATAACTAACTTTCACTAGATTATGTACATAAAGTTAGACACAACATCAATTATCTTTAAATACGTATTAGACACAGGTTTTCTTAAAATATCCTAGAGCATATGATTAGGCAAGGTGAGGGTATCACAAAGGTCTGAAGGACTGAGGTTTCCCTTAAAAACTATTAAGCAACAAGACGAAATTACGAGCTAACGAGGGCTCGATTTTCAGTCAACTCTACAAAGGAGATTATCTTAACATGTTCTAATGTTTCATTCCACTTTGCTTTAGAATTATGTTCACTTTAAAAGGAATACCGTCTTCGAAGTTCGTATATCGAAGTATCCCGAACAAAGATCGAGCGTACATGACTACTCTCGACCTGACTCGATTGGTAACGACTTGGCACGGTTCAGCCCGACTCTGCCAGACCCGACTCGACGAAGGTGTGATCGACCAAACGCCGCGAAAACATACTAAAAGGTTTTCACTTATTGACTAATAACCTCACCTTGACAACTATAAACACAGTTTTCTTTAACACTTACATTAATTCTTAATTAAATAAAACTTAACTGTGTTTTTAAGCTAAATACTGTGATCCGACTTTTCAATCCTATTCGCGAGTTTCGTAAACACTTTTCAAACTCCACTAGCACGAATTCTGTCGCAGTTTATTATTTATTTAAATAAAACCTTTCCATTTTCTCACAAGTCACTTGTATCAGTTTGTTTCAATAAGTTAAGGAAAAAATAGTGTAAAACATTACACTTGCAAAAGCTTTCAGTAACTATCATCCCAAACTGCAGAGTAAAGTCGCAGCTACTTTACGGTCAACACCCGTTCCTTACTCGACTAAATTTTCTATAATTGACCTAACATATCTTGAATGATGAATCAATTTGACTAAAATCTTACGACTAAACTAATTAAAAACGGCTAAATCATGGGTTGAGGATAATTTTAACTAAATAAAACTACCTTCCTAGTGGAAATTCATGTAATCTAAAAGTCATTCATACTTGTCCTAAACGTAACTTTTCTACCTTTTTCTAGCAATAACCTTTCGTATCAACTTTCTACAACATACTAAAACTTGTCTCCAAACGAAAATACTAGTTATTATTACCTGTAGTGAATAATCCCCTCCAAAGACACCAAATCAGTGAATAAACAAGACCATGTATGAATGGGACGTCTTTTGCCAAACGCGACGTCGCATAGTTTGAATCCTATTTTTAAGATTTCCAGGTAATCAATGTACGATTTTCCAAACTGAATCACAGGAAGTCAGCCACTCACAAAAATGTATATTTCCGATATGACCAGGATTGAGTTAAAGTAGGGTATATACTATAATATAGCGTCGCTAAGTATACATGTACGTCTGTAGAACATGATTGCAGTAACACAGAGCTAGATGAATCAAAAGTGATCTTTGTGTCTAGGCTCACTTCATATGATTTTAAATACAGTAAATTCTTCCCATATACTAACACGTACGTAATTGTCAATAATTGTAAGAAGGAAGTTGAGTTCATCCTTTTTGATCGACTAAGTTAACTTCAAATCATTTCCACAGCTAATTTTCTAGGAACTTATTATTATATTGCATACATGATTATAATATTAAATCACACGATTAAGGGCTAATCTGCTAGAGTACAATTTGAATCTTTAAGGAAAATCTAACCAAAATCAACAATTCAAGTAAATGAATGGAGCAATTAACATTTTCTATGAAATGCAGCAAAACCACTAACGAGAAAAAAAAAAGATTTTTTCAGTGAAAAAAGGATACCCTCCTTAAAAACTTAAATTTAATTGAGTCCAATCAATCTTCCACGTCAAAAATATAATTCTAAAATAATGAATGAAAGCAGGGTGTCAGTGACCAGTTAAATGGATGCCTTGCGATGTTATTATCATACATGTAAGTTCAAAATTGAAACAAAATTCTCAAATTTTGTCCATTTTGCAAATTACTACCTAACAAACAATGCTAAGTGAAGGATTTCCTAAAATGATTTATAACATAAATAATGAAAGATATCATAGATTGAACCAAATCTCACTAACACTAATTAGGGTAAAATGAATTTCCCTTTCAGTTAAAACTACAATATTCAACGTAGTCTTGTAGAAATACAAATATATATGAATCAACACAAAACTAGAGCAAGTTACAGGCACAGAGAGCCTGCCTTATGTTGCTTTTGAGCAGCATAGCAATGAATGGAACTACATTACAGTAAGCATAAATTATGTATGGATAAATTAATTGTTATGTCCAAGCTCTCTTGGTTTCAACTGGATGTTGGAATGGATACAAGTGAAGGTTTAATCTTCAAACAGAGTTTCTTCAGGAGACTCTGCTAATGAGATGTTGAAGATCTTTTGCATGTTGTAGGTGAATCGTCCTGAAAACAGAGGCAAGCCATTAGAAATGAATAATTATTAGAAAATGATGGTTGCCCAGGAGTTTCATTAAGGACTGGGTACTAGGCAAATTGACCCACTGTGAGCAGAATTTTGCTGTCTGCTTTGACCATGTCGCAGATAGTTTTTCTTATAAAGAAGTTCAGTTCAAATAGTTTTGACCGCCTGTGAAAACCAGTTACCCTCCTGCTGGAAACGTTAATGAAAACCTTGGTTGCCAGTAGTTGCTTTTGTTGTTTTACATGTCTATTTGTGGTGCTAAATGTACTGCATTTTAATTTGTTGTTCATAAAAAGAAATTCAGTAATACATGTATATAAAATGTTTAATAGTTTACACTGTAGTTGGTTCTGGTTTCAATGTAAGTTTTCTTGAACAACAACAAAAAAAATTAGAGACTGCATTATCTTTGCAACACTGTTTAGTATTTCCATTGCCTATGGTGATCCTCCTAGCCAAAAAAATTCCTAGGTGATCTGTATCAACTACAGCTGTATATCTAATCTCATTCTTAGCCTAGATGGGTTGCTAGTCTATATTAAGTAGCACCACTGTTTTCTAGACCTACCTAACATCATAAGACCTCAATCAGGATTTTAAAGAGAACAAGTTTTTGCTGCTAAGTTTATCATAACTGTTGGTGACCCAGGACAAAATAAAGCGGCACTTGGTTTCCTTAGTTCTTTCTCTAGCTGATGTTATATACTAATGAATACTAACCACAAAATCCAGAGCAGGCATATCTGGTTTTGTCCCACCAAACAAATATGATGTAAACAGGAATACCAAGAGCTATAAAGATGAGGGCAAGGGAAGACTCCACAGGCTCCTGCCAAAATGGAGTGATCAACAAGTACAGGGACGCTATGGCAATGACTATGGGAACAATCAGCCAAACCTGTAGCATGAAAAATACAGATAATATTGGTACATCATTACATGTATATCACACTCTCTTTACTTCAGAAGAGACAGTTTAGCTGAGCAGTTAGAGTGTTGGCAAGCCAGGTTGTTTGAAAGCCAGTTAACACCAACCCAGGATTAAAAGTTAACTAAAGTGTAATTTTTTTGTATAAAAGTGTGTTTCACTGCTTATATTTTGTGTGGTTGGAGATTATTCGAACTCAAAACTGAAGGACAAAGAACATAAACAGAATGAAATGTTACAAAATTGAAATCAAAATTCTCACTAATCCGGAGTCAGCTAAATCAGGCTTTGAACAACCCAGCCCTGGAGTTTCAATCTGAAAGTCACAGGGTCAATCCTGTTCTGACCACTTGCCAACACAGTTCTTAGTGGTCCTGAGTTCAACTCCTCAGCCACACTTGAAAACAGCCAACTGGTCTGCCTCTTACCAGTTGGGATTTCTAACCACGTCATGTTACAATTTTACAATATTTGTTCCAGTATGTTTATATAGTAGCCCTAGAAATCTCCTTGGGGGAAGTGAAAAAAACTATATTTATCATTATTACTATTTCTTTTTACTACTCAGTGGGCATCAGCCACATCCTACTTTACAAGGTACAGTGTACTATATGTCAACCTGGCCAAGGCTTAAACCTGAACCGCTCAATCTACAGCCCGGTATAGTAACAATTAAGCCACTGCACTACTTAGTTTTCTTGCAACTGGCAAAATCCCACCTTTGGTGTCCATTGTGTCCACACCAGAAAATCTCTTAAATGAAGTGCGTTTCAATATTGACAGCAAAAGACTACGTATGCAATACATGTACCTTGTAAGGTCTGTCTGCCTGTGGACGTTTCCACCTGAGGTAGAGCAGAGCTGAAAAGACTGCAAAGTACGATAGCCATGCGGCAAAGCTGAAGTAGTTGACAAGGGTGCTGAAACTGCTGGAGTCCGGAATCAACATAATCATGGCAATTACATGCTGCAATGAAGTACAAAATACAAACAAGAACTAAAATCTTGACAACAATTTACGCAAGCTGTAAAGAAATTGCAGCAGGGTATTCTGGCTCTTACTTGGTGTAGAAGACACAGTTGACATAAAACAACAGAGAACAAAAAGACAAAAGAACCATGAAAACAATACAAACAATAGGTTTGTAGGGCAGTTTTCTATTGTCACATGTCCTACATGTATGTCTTCTACACCAAGAGGGAGCAATCCATGATTTGATTATGAGGGGGAAAAAATTGATAGTATCCAATATTTCTGTTTTCTGCACTGCTTGCTCATGATCAAGCAATTGCTGGCCAATAATTATGACAAGAAATGTTCCCTTAATTATATCTCTGCAACAAAAGGAAAAAACCCAGATAGGTTCCATACATGTAATCTCTTCTGCATGGTGTTTCACTTTACTTCAGTTTTACCTCACATCTGTCTATACTCTAATCAAACAAAGCTCTCGCAAATAAAAATGCTTCTATTTTAAATATTAGCTTTTCAAGGACACTAGAAAAGAGAAAACAGGAGATGGCTCCTCCATGTAGGGCAAACTGTCATTTGGAAATGTTGGCCAAATAGAATACCTCCATTAAAAATGTATTTTGTTAACTTGAAACTTGAAGAAATGCTAACTGTCAAGAAACAAAAAAAAAAAATATATAGGGGGCCTTATTGCTTACCAAGAACACAATGGAAGGCATGGGAGTGTTGCGTGTCTTGTGAATCATGGCAAGTACTTTAGGCATGTGGCCATTACGAGCTGACACAAAAACCAGCCTGTGGATCATACATTACAAATCAGTTACCAGGTTACAAATTGTGGTTCTGTACAATGTACTTAGTACTGAGCCAGACATGTTACTCTGATGTAAACTTACATGTAATTAAATGTAATTACATTGTGCTAAAATGTTGAACTGTGGCACCATCTGGGAATTACTTAGATGTAAATTCTATATCTTGGCCAACTTCACAAAGATGATCAATGCGCGTACATGTCTAAGTTACATAGTTTAAAGTGCACCTAACCCCCAAAATTTTTTTTCGCTAAAACGAATCTAGACTTTATTTGAAGCATTTGGGTGAATAAATTTTTGAATTTGGTTGAATCCTCGATTTCCTATGCCCTTTCAAAGTCGCGCTTGAAGTGTTTCACAACCGCGTTTTAGGGAGTCTGGGGCGGCNAACTATTTCAAATAACAAGTAGATTCGGTTTAGTGAAAAAAAAGGTTTGGGGTTAGGTGCACTTTAACATTATGTACTAATTAACAATAATGGCGTGACTCCTGGTCGTCCACTCAAGAGTGCAAGGGAAAACCAAGCTTACTGTAGTACACAATCAAACAACATTCTATTATTCCTTACAACAGAGTGCATCAGAAAGATCCTTGGACACAGTGTAAAGCATTTTAATTTTGACTAGAAATGTGGTTTGGAAAGGACAGACATCAAATTAAACAGCCACACTAATATTTGCGACAAGATTTGACTCACCTAGCACCACTGAAAGCCAGACCATTCACACAGCCAAATGTGGAGCATGCAACAAAGATGGGAATGAACCATGCAACAGGACCCATCTTTTCCTCTCCAACCACCTGTGTATAAAAACATGCACTTTATGTAACAATGCTGCATTTAAGCACCACCCCTGATTATGCACCAAAATGTGAAAGACTGCCACCCTCTTACAAGTGCTGCATTCACTCACAATGAAGAATCATCACACCGAATTGGTTCAAAGTGGCTATATTTTTTGTTGACATTTTCTCGTTGTCATTTGGCAAATGAGTTTATAAAGAGTGCTTCCCTGAATTCACTTGATCTATTCTGAAATTATTCATGGCATTTTAATAAGGTCCTTGCATAAATGACATGTACCAAGAAGTATTGCCATGATGCTCCTAAATGCACTTCTTTCAATAAAATACAGAACGCTATATTTTGTGATGCTCTGGGTAAATTCTCCTCACTTGAGAAATTTCAAAAAGGGTTGTACTATGTAAATACTACTCTTGTTTGTTTATTTCCCAAAGTGCATACCATAACAAATCAACATGCACATGTCATGTTGCTAACAGATTCACTCACCATAGCAACTGCACCTGACGTCAGAATTCTCTCTCCTCCAACCACAGCAATATAAGCAATGTTGGTCAACAAATATACGATGGTCACAAGAGGAATTCCAATCATGAGAGCACGTGGAAGATCTCTGTACATTGTGGAAGAACAATAAAAAGTTAATTCCTAGACTGTTATTACAGAAAATGTAACAATTATTAACAACCATATTTCACCTCCAGTGGAACTTGATTTCTCACATTTCAAAGAGAAAAGAAACTTGGTTCATAAAAACGTAAGTTTGATAAGTTTGAATTCGGGGTGAACAAATTCAAAGGAAACTACATTTACTTTTGGTTGACTTGTTGGGAAGTTACAGAAATCGAAGACTCAGGAAATCATGTTCTCCTTTTCCTTAATTAATAAATAAACTAAAAAAAAATTCAAGTTTGCAACAACTGCAAGGTGATCCCTTTCATGTTTGATTTACGGCAAACAATGGACACCAAAGGTGGGATTTTGCCAGTTGCAAGAAAACTAAGTAGGGCAGTGGCCTAATTGTTACTATACCGGACTGTAGATTGAGTGGTTCAGGTTTAAGCCCTGGCCAGGTGTTCCTGGACAAGACACTTGAATCTCACAATTCCACTCTCCACACAAGTGCATAACTGAATTGAATGCTTGCGGTAACCCTGCAATAAACTAGCGTCCCATCCAGGGGGAGGAGTAATACTTCTTACTAGTACAGTGGAACCCCATTCATCCGGTCACCAACTGAGGATGTATAATGGAGTGGCTTCATTAAAGGGGTTCTTTAAGTAACAAAATGACTGACTAAGCTTTTGTCTGGGCCAGAATAAAGTGGCCATAATAACGATGTGGGCATATTAACGGGGTAAAGACTTGCATGAAAGTGGTCAGTAAGAATAACCATGAATAACAGTGCCATATTTCGGGGTGGCCGTAAGGTGAGGTTCCAATGTAATGCCATGGAACCAGAGATAAGCATCTGCCTGATGGACCACTATGTTCAAAAGCAGACTTGTGCTTATACTGTGCTTAATCTATTATAAAGTTTATCACTGCACATGATAAAACAATGGTTATTCACCTTGCAGGATTCTTCATTTCCTCAGTGACAAAATTTAAGCTGTTCCTGTTTAATGAAAATAAAATAAAAAAGAATTTATTTGACACTGCCACATAAATGACAGTCGGGCACACAAAAGAACACTTTGCACACCAACTTACCATCCATCATACGCCCAAAGACCAGAGTAGAAGGCCAGTCCAATATTTGCCAAGTTGGAAGTAGTTCCATCAAAGGATCCTTCAAAGTTCTGAACATTACCTATCAAGAAGCAGTCATAGATAGTTATATCAGGGTTAAAAACAATGGCTGCTAATAAGTATTTTTAACTATCTAATTTGCCTGCCCAAAATATAAGACAGGGAAAGATAAGGGGCCTGCTTGGGAGCATTTTAAACAAAGCCAAAACTCATCTGTAAATCTTTCTTCCTTATTATCATCCCGAGTTACAAGTACATTTACACTGCATAAGACAAACGTGAATGCAAACACAGAGGATAAGGAGTTACATGTATTGTCTCAAGGCCAGATAAGAAGTCAGTAAGTTAGCATAAGCCCTTTACGCATGAAGGTGTCTAACTGCTTGGAACTCAATCTGAAATTTAAAATAACATTCTCACCTGATCCAATCTCTATGAGGCCAATTACAATCAAGATTACCAGAGCAATAAGTTTTCCAAAAGTGAAAGTGTCTTGTATACGTGTTGCCCATTTCACACTTGCACAGTTTATGAACATGGTCAGTGCTAAAACAAAGAAAACAAGAGGAATTATCTTTCTATAATCTGAGTTTATGACTAGAAAGTATAGCAAGAGCAATGTTTCCACAAAAGGCATCCATTTGGTGTCTGAACATAGTTAAACTGCATTTCAACTGTAAAATTTTCATAGCCACCTCAATATCTGGGAGACAAAAAATGGTTGAAGCTGTTTCCGAAAAGCAGAATAAAAAACAAATTTACCATCTATTTTTAGACAGTTTCTTTATAGTAGTAAGTAAAATTCTTTAGGGGTCTTCTCTCAAAACAAATTAATTATAATAACAACTAATAAAGAATTCAGTGACTTGGCCACAATACAATATTGTTTTGTGAGTTCAGAAGATTTTTTTAAAAATGTATTCTTAGTATTTTACACCCTGGAGTGTGTAAAACCTGGGCGAAGTACAGCTGGAATTAATGAATTGAAATGCATATTTTTGTAAGGTGAGAAAGTTCTTTAATGCTAAATTGTATCAAATATATGGACCCTTTTCATAAATGGCTCCCAATTAAAAAATTCCTTTGTATATGCATCTAAGCTACCCTCACTAAACTCGTTTGAGGATAAAAATTGTTTTGAATAATCAACTCAACGACAAGCTTAGTTAGGTAAATTTTAATACTTAAAAAAGAATTTTACATGTAGCCATGTCCTATTCTAGTAAATTCAACTCAGACTTCAATATTACATTAACATACAAGTACATGTACATGTAGTCTTTAAACTGTATTAAGTCAAACTGTAAATAATTAACCACCTAACAAATTACTATTCACAAGCTTTTACTGACATGTAATTCCAAGTGGGGGGGAGAGTACTCTCTTATACATGTATAGGCTACGTAGGTATGTGCGGTCATATATTAGCTCTTGTACTAATTTTACAAGTCTGAAATGGGTATTGAATTTTGACTCAGCAGGGCTCAAAAAAAGTGCCATCTGGTTATCCAGGACAAGTAGATTCTCCTTCTGGGCAAGTACCTTTCCATTTGACAGCTACTTGTCTCAAGGGTAAGCTTGAATTCGAGATTTTTTCGAACCCTGCCCAGGTCTGAAAATATGGGAAATCACAGATTTTCCTCTAAAATAGAGTAAGGATTTGAAGGTTTGGGGGACACACCCCTAGCAAAAACACTGGGGAGTACGTCGGCATGTAATTTATCGAAACTTTTTCGGTACCAGATCTTTGGACAACCAAATGAAACAGAAGTACTTGTTTACCACATACAACTGGCAGCGGTTTTATCAGTGAACATATTCATTTACACAATTTTTCACAAGCAACAAATTCTACACCCACATTTTTTTCAAAACAAGCTGATTTTTTTTTAATAATTTGATGACAGTTGTTTAATTAAAAGAGCTGTGTAAGGGTCATCTGGGAAAAAAATTCTTAATTCCAGCAGGAAAAAAATTTGCTACTTTCAAGTCTATCTTAATCCTTCTCAGACATTCTCTATATTAATTTTCGCTTTTATTTATAACTTTTTTGGTGTTATTCTATCTTAAGGATCATTAATTTTATGGGTTTCCCCCACTCACGCGCTATCAGAACACCAACTCCTTTCAACATGGGATATAGTCACATCTTAGCCATGTGATAAAAGCAGTATGGACTGGTTAGTTAAGGTCACGGCACGTTAACTTAACACAAAAATTGTCTTCATAAAAATAATTGTGGAAATAAAATTGTTGTTATGAATTTTCTTCCAAGCATGAGGCTTTTGCCGAGTATCAAAGCGGTAAAGTATGCAAATTTCAGTAGACGTTAGACTAGAGAGCGACAACTGCTCACTACACTCGACCTACAATATCAATTATTGTCAAGGGGTCATTCCAGTGATCGACAACTCGTGGCAATATTGCCCCGTCGTATAAAATTGCGTTTAAACTCCACCCCTCCCAATTTTAGGGAGCTAAAATTTTGCAAGTGAAAAGCGAGATCAGACATATGAAGCTTACTTCTCCGTCATTCAATAGCTGATTATTGTTCTAGTTCAATTACCTTCCCCAAACAATGAAGTGGTTTCGCCCGAATTAAGTCTGTTATGCAAATTACCAAAGCCACGTTTTTTAGCTGATGCAATACAACAAAAACACGAAATTTGCCGCTACGCTGTAAACAATAAAACGAGAAGTTTCGACATCAAAATTTGGACAATGCGAAAAATGGTATACGGTACGAACCGAAGAGGATGCCAATCTAAATATTTTTATTAAAGAAAAATTTTGGCTCAAAATCACCAGTGATTTTTATACAAAACATGGGCACACTCAAGTTTTACAACACAGAGAAACTAGAACAAGTCACCATAAGCTTATAGGTTTATAGGGCTTTGCACGAATGTTAATAAAACTCACCCAGACAAGTCGCTGCCAAGATTTTTCGCACAGGGATCGGGCTGATCTCACAATCGGGAAAGAAAGGTTGGCTCACATAGCGTGCGAAAGTCAGAGCGACCACACTAAGGGAGGATGGCCGAATGATTAGAGCGAGGGTCCAACTGTACAGGAAGGCGGGGAGAGCACCAAAGGCTTCGTACAGATAGGAGTATTCCGCACCAGATTTGGGGATCATAGTACCCATTTCACAGTAGCAGAGAGAACCCAAAAGCGCGAGGAAACCACAGCCGGCCCATACGACCAAACTCATACCAACCGAGCCTGTTCTTTGGAGCACGCCTGTTGGAGAGATGAAAATCCCGGAGCCGATGATCACTCCGACAACAAGAGCAATACCATTGAGCAGGGTAACTTCTTTTTTAAGGCCAACCGATCTGTTGTCCTCAATTGCCGGGAGAGCGTCTCCGTTCGTTTCTTTGTCGCCATGATCGCCGGTTAGCGGCTGTACGGCGGCCGCTTCTTCTGCTTTCGAAGCCATTGAAGCAAAGTTGAAGGGCAGAGGTTACAAGGGACTCCGCTCTCACCGCAAGGCTGAGGTTTCCTCTAAATTCCTGTAGAATGAAAATTATATATAACTGCTGAAGGAACAAAACCGTTCAAGTTACTATATGAATGGACTGGTCCCCACGTGTACGCGTGTGACACGACAAGCGAAAACTACTTCGAAATTGTCGACATCTTCAAAGCGAACTTCGTGAAACAGCCTTAATAACCACTTCCCTAAACTTAAAAACCTCAATGTCTTCAAAACTAAACCATCGAACTTACTGAATACGAAATACGAGATCAAGCCAACTCTCGAACTTCGTTTCCCAAAGAAAACACCGGGTGTCTTTTGACTCTGCGCGGGAAAACTTCAGGTTAAATATTCATCAACACGAAAAGCGGCTCGTCTGTGATTGGTCGAGGAATCGCCTTTTGTCACTGCACTTTGACCGTCCTTTCAATGTAAACACTGACGCATGAAATTCACGTGAGATACCTCCCTGAAAACAGAAATTTTCTCGAAACTACTCACGGAATAATTGTTCATAACTTTTCATTTCTGCCAATAAATAAGGCAAAAGTGAGTGAAACTGAAAACAACAGATTAATTTATTCAAGAATCGAACATTGCCGAAAACAATTGGGGTTTCCTTTGACTAAACACTCACGTGCTTTGTGATTTTCACAAACCCAAACATTGCATCATATCACCAGAGTAACTCGACTTACTGGAAAAAATCCAGTTGGCGATCACCCACAGAGTTCAGTTTGTTGACGAAGCCGCTCAATAATATCCGAGGTCATGCATACAACTTTATCGACAGCGTGAAAAGCTTAGCTTCATGTTTCCTTGATGAAACAATGAGGAATCGAAGAAACCTTGTGAAAAAAGTTTCAGTTTCGTAGGTCTTCATAATTAGTGAAAATGGTCCCTGACAGTTAATTATCATTCGAAAATGCCGAAAATGCCCAAAACACTTCTCTTTGGTAACAAAAGTACGAAAACATAATGATTTGCAGAGTAAGTCGATCTTCAACAAAGGAAGATTAGAAAGGGAAAATTAGACAGATTAGATATCATGCGCAGATCTATTCTGATGCAGACTATCAAAACAAAACTTTCGCCCTCGTGGTCGTTGTTTTTATAGCAATATTTGGCGTGTTTATAAGCCACTAAGACCCCACTTGGTTAATTTAAAGTAATCATTATTTGAGAACGTGTACTCCTCAAAGGGTCAAATTTCCCAGAACAATATGCAAGAGAATGCAATAAGAAGTCAACTCGGCCTAGTAATGCTTAGTTTCAGCAAACAAGTATAGAAAACCAAAATATGTTCTAGAAAAATCACTTCGCATGTTGTATCAGACCTTAATTTATTAAATGTTGAACTTTGCGGAAAAGGAACCTTTTAAAACAGACTTCAAAGTTACCAAAATCTCGCGTTGTTCTCAGCTGTGTGAGTGAGAGTACAAGGGGCCAAGAGGTAAAATTCGACGACACCCATGTTTGAGGATGGTCAGTATTTAGTAATAGACCGGGTCAAATTGACCACACCCATGTGAGAGCGTCAGGCCACACCAGTGTTTAAGGGAGGGACTTTTCACCTGTAATTTTCACAGCTTGGCTTTCCGCCTAGTAGACTACTGACTTTTATTTTCCTGTCAGATGAGTTATTTGTTGTTTTTCACCATTTTCAGTTCGGTTTGAGTTTAATAACAGGCGCAATTTAGGTAGAAGGAATGCATTTCGCCATGAGACAAGGACGTGAGAATTTAACAAAAGTGAAAACAAGTCATGGCGCTTTTGATGGTGTGAAAAACTTTTATAGGAACCCAAGAAAGCTTTTCGTTAAGCAGACCCTGGTCAGTCATTTTCTTACCCAGGCAAAACTGCAACAGAGTTTTGAATCGAACATAATCAGAATCGGATGCAGATAGATCATGCATGCAATGGACGTTTCTAGGGAGAAAACAATCAACAGATACCTGCGAAGGATTAACATATACAATGGCCAGGAAACCGTACGTAGCCAAGAATCAAACGACAGCTAGTAAAGTTTTGATGTTTATATTTTTACAAGTCGTTTAATTAACAGTCAGACTACAAGCCAGTGGGCATGGAGAAACCACTTACTGACATCAACAACCAACACCGTATTGTCGCGAGACCGGCACTATGGGGTGGGACGAAAATAAGAGACCGAACGAGTCACCAAAACAAATACAGAACGAAGTTCCCAGGCACAGATGAAAAAAAGTTGGCTTAACGTACGTACGTAAATAAAATACGTAGCATAAGGTACTGAGTCTGCTGAGAGAGCACTTCATGAATGTACCGTGAAATAAGATGAGCAAAGGAACTGAACGCACAGCAACTTCATGTAAAAACTAAATTTCTTTGTTCTCTGGAAAACATAGCGGGTACCGTACAACCATTTAGGCCCACCTTGTCAGATAGGATGCGAAACTTTTCTGGTACCAGTGTTTACCAGTGCTTTTGCTATTTGTCAGAGAAGCCTTCGTAGTCTTTATCAGTGTGCACGGCATCAAGTGAAGGGCGTAATATTGCAAGTCCGGCTTCGCTAAACTCAAATTTCTCTTTGGCAGAATGGAAAGTACTCATGCATTTTCTGAGCACCACTCCATCCCTTGAGATAACGAGCTCGAATGACCAGTTTGCGTGGGCCAGATTACTTCCCATGGTTTTTCGTGCCCAAATTGTGAGATCGAGAGATAAATTTAATTTAAAAATGCGGCCGGTTTCAAATTTTTCAAGTGTTCCCGCGAGGATTTGCATGCCAAAGTGGCACCTGTTACATTCGATTTGCATTTGAAAGACAAGGAGCGAGAAAGGACGATGGATTGGCCACAAACTATATGATAGATGACAAATTGTAAAATAATCCTTTTTACCTCAAGCAGCGAACAAGAGAGCTTCCGTTTTTAAAATGACTTTAGCTGTGTACTGTATGTGTCGTAGATCATCTACTTTAAAAGTGCTCTTCGTGCATATAGGGCCCAACACAAACATGACTAAAATAATAGCTTTGCAAAATAAATTTTAACAATTAATTTTAATCAACGCACAATTTCTTTCATTATATCAGGGCCGAGCTGTCAGTTTTGCCAGAGATCGTTGTAAGAGGTTGATGAAAGCATTGACATAAACTCGATAACAGCTGCAAAAATAAAAAAAATTAGAGTAACATACCGAGTAGCTCAGTCGGAAAGCAGTGAAGCCGATATGACTTATCCACCGGTAAACCAGCGGAATGAGAAGAATTGTTCGCCGTTCTAGCCGGTTTCCGGCTGCGATACTACATTGCTGAATGGTTATAGTTATTTCTTCTGTGAAGACTTCGTTTTAAAATCGTATATTTATGTATTCTGCTAATCTACCCGACTTTTCAAACACGCATCTCGCATTGGTTTGACCTGAGAGATTTATTGTCTACACTTCCGCACAACCCTCAGCTCGGTCAGCGGGATTCAACCATAATCAATATCATGTTGGAAGTTCAGCGCTACTTTGTCGCTTTCTCCGCGGCTGACTTTTTTTTTCACGCCAATCCTCCAAAGTAGATCTGATAGATTACAATCGCAGTGCAACCTTGATTTTAATGGACTACATCATTTAGAAAATGTTTGAGAAATAAATAAGTCTCATTTAATTGAAAGTCATGGTGATTGAACAGTTTCTGACAAGGCATCGCTTTCCCGCCAAAGAACACCTAATGCTCGACAAATATCACTCGGAAGAAAATTGAAGTCTCTCATCTTAATTCTTCAGATACTAAAATATTCATTTCTCTATCTTAGAGCCAACTGAAAGTACTCTGCCATGTGTTTCACCTTTTTTACAGATTCGGCGAAAACTAACAGAATTACCCTTTCCTTTATGATTGTAAATTTTGCAGAAATAGGTCAAAGGTGTAAAACTACAAAAAGTTTTAATTTGGTTTACAGGCTTATTGGATCGCGTGTCAAACTGCCACAATTAAAACCATCTGGGCTGAATTGAACTGATTGTTAATTTTAGTTACTTTCGTACTATTGGTCGCTTCATTATAATATACATTTACTCCGAAGGCCTTGTTATGCATCCGCAAAACACCTTATCTTAAACGGCAGATAATACACAAGGACCTTGGCCTCTTTTACATTTTTTTTTTTTTTCGTTTGACAAAAGCCTGTCAAAAGGAAAAATCGATTTTTTTTCCCGCCGATCACAACTCGTGAAGTTGTGTACAAAAATTAAATTCCACATGTAATGCTGGAATTAAAAGTTCAGAGAGAAGTGGGTTTGGCTCAATATTTGATTCATTTGCATTTTTTTTTTTTTTTTGGTGGTCAAAATATTTTTTTTGAAAGAGTTCCGGAGACCGCGGCCGAAAGAGATTCTGCAAAAGTTATCGGTTCCCTGCCGTACAGAAATTTCTGATTATGTTATCCGCAACTCATAGGCATCAGTTTAAGTTAATTTTAAATTTTCTATTTTCTTGTGAAAATTGCTGCGATCGATCGACTGCAAATATATATACATAGCCATGAAAATTTGGATTGACCTGATTTTTAATGCAGAAACAGCTTGAAATAAAATGATTTTATTTGGACGTAGAAAAAAAATACTGTTTGGTTCTTGAACATGTTGAACGTTCTCAGACTAGAAGATAAGCTGAAGATGTCATTTTTTGGTGAATTTTTTTTTTTCTTCGTAATTAAAAAAATAATAATAAAGGCAAACCGATAACGAGCTGGCTTTCCTAAGAAATAAACGCCGCTTTTTTCAATATGGGAAAAATAAAAGTGAAAGCAATTGCGTTAACTTTGTTAGAAAATGATTCTTACCTCACCAGAAGACCTCCGCCTAGAAAAACGCGCTAACCTTGGAATGTAGGATCGAGCATAGAAATCGATAGCCTCGCCTTAACACTTGTGAGTGATCAAAGTCCGAGCCATAATATAGCGATAAGTATCAAGCTAGCACCCAGGGTCAAACGGCTGCTCGGTCAGCGATCAATTGGTGATCTGGCCGCCAGCGTAAATTGCTGATAAACGGAAATGATTTGCGCGCCTGTTGATATTTACATTCATTTATTTACTCAGCGTATTCTTTAACCTGCTTTTTCTATGAAAACTGGTGTCAAGATCGTTTTAGTCCAGACCCTGAATCGGGTCGCTCCAGCTTCCTTCCTTTTTACAAGGACGCCTGATACAATCGCCTACCAACCTAGTTCCCAGGCCTTTTCCTTTAGAAATTTCTGAGGGAAAAGGCCTGGGAACGGGGTCGATCACCTCCGCGTCAATTTGATATTCTGCTTCCTTCCAGCTTTCCCTCTTCCATATTTCTTCTGCCTCCTCCACTGGTTCCTATCAGTGGGTACAAATGGCTTTAGGAATAGGTTTCCAGCAGGAGCCATAATCGGAAATTATAGTGAAATGGGAGCCACTAATTCAAACACCTCCTCTACCAATCTCGACTATTTGCCGACATCCACCAGCAATTTCCTTCCGTCGGACACTTAGTGAAGCAAACATTTCTCAGCAATCTCCTTGTTCCTTATTGCGCTTGCTCCTTGAGTCTTGGCGCTGACCAAAGGCATCCGGGACTCTCAACAGTAAACCCAGATAAGAAGAGTAAGGAGATTAGGTATTCTAAATCACAACAGCAGAAATCGGGAACGGATTCGTGGTTTCACTTGAAAATAACGTAGCAGTCGAGTCAGTTCTTTAGTACTGTGAGCTGTTCAGTGGGAAAGTGAACCACGGACGGGCGATCTAATTTTATAGTCTGAAGAAAAAGAAATACGTTGGCTTACGTAATCCCGGGGGGAGACTCCCCTATAAAAGTACGGGGTTGGTCATCATACCTTGTAGGGGTTAAAAACGAGGTTTTGGTACCTCTTAGGTTGTTCAACCTCAAAAGGTCCACAGCGGAAGCCTTTGTGGTACCTTATTGGGTGGTACCTTATTGGGTGGTACCTTATTGGGTATTGAACCGAAAAAATATGACAGGAGATAATGTGTTGTTTTAGAATTCGTGCCTCTTTGGGGTGAAAAGCAATTCAAGCCACGCCCACNGTGGTACCTTATTGGGTGGTACCTTATTGGGTGGTACCTTATTGGGTATTGAACCGAAAAAATATGACAGGAGATAATGTGTTGTTTTAGAATTCGTGCCTCTTTGGGGTGAAAAGCAATTCAAGCCACGCCCACAGGCCACAGAACAAGATCCCTGTATCTCTTAGGGATTCTTTTCAAATCTCCGACGAGCCACTCCTCTCCCCTTCTTCCTTTGTACATGGGAGTCCCTCACGGGGCTAATATGAGGGCGCTAATTCGAGTAGGGGTGCCCAGTAACCACGTTCAAGGGGGGCGCTAGATGAAATCACTGTGATAACATTACTGCTACATCCTTGGACAGAATGAACAGAATCCTCGGACAGAAGCCAGTCGTATTACCTAAAGACTTTGAAGGTGTAATAATCTTTCATATCGAATATTGAGGTATCCTGGCATTTGCTCTATCAGTAAGGTGATTTTATATCACGTGATCTCATTATGCCAGGGACTTGCGTGATTTTTGTTTTGCCCTTTTAGCTGGACGCATAACAATTGTGATTTCACACCAGACTCACTTCCTTCTAAACATTCGTGTAATTGAAGACTTACCATTTGAAAAGGATGACAACTATCGACAAGTTTCTAGCACAAGTGTTTTGTTTACCCCAGCATTATCGCTAACGTAGTACCATTTACAAATGACAATTGTATGATTCAACCGTTGACGTGCAGATCACGAAAACGTGCGACACGATGAGCAGTTGTCGTCAAAGACGTGTTTTACGTGTTTTACGTGTTTTAGTCCTGTAATTGCTCTACTTCCATTAACAAAAGCCCCTAATGGATTTGTAATCCCAAGGGAGCCTGTATGGCCGGTGTAAATACATCTTTGAAAAAAAGGAAAAGTATTTGTTTGAGATTGTTCTGTATCTTACTTACGATGATGTACAATATTTTAAAACGTTAGATCAGTACTGAATCTTCCGTATTTTTGAACAAGAACGGGTTCAAACAGCGTAGTTAACATCTTAATCGTGACACTTATGTATACAGGTGTTAGATATAATTATTGATGTTTAATCGCTTAATCGTATTTAACGAGGTTTTTTTATTCCATTTTGCTCTTTTTTTTCTTTTGAGTACAAAATGAATTTTTCTTTTGAATACAAAATGAAGCATTTCGTTAAAAGAATTTACAAATGTCAAATTCTAAATGAAGACGACAAAGAAATAATTTTCACGATCGAGTTGTTTTTCCTTTCACTCACATGAATACAAAAGTGGCTTTAACCAGTTAAAAAAGCCCTCTGTACGTTGAGGCCACTTTCGTGACCTTTTATGGTGCTTGTATAATAAAATGGCCGCTCTACTCTAAAACTTGCTGTTTAACAACCAGTGGTTGTATAATTACTGCCAATAATATATTTTTACTCTAGAGGCAAAGCCTGTAATATTCTCCGGCTCAAGTGTAGTTTGTATTGTCAGTGAAAAGTGCTGTTTTAAATAAATATAAATAAACAAACAAGGATCATGAAATTAAATTGGTGTGATGAACCAATTTAATCTTGAGTTGCAAGGCCAGAGAAAGCAATACTTCATCCACCAAACCACATGAACCACTCGGTTTCCCGGTGAAGACAAACAGTGAGGTCAATTTTATACAGCTGAAGCTAAACCACCGAAATACCGATTTTGTTGTTGTCATTATGTTTTTTGTCTTTTTCTGTATTTCAACTACTTTTTGCTGCCAGCGTTTTCAAGAAGTCATCCACACGACCCTGCAAAGCCTCTACTGTCCCCGAATGCCTCCTGTAAACACTAGGAGATACCGGAGCAGGATTAAGGGTGGCTTGAGGGTCTTCCATAGCCTTCCTCAGCGGTGAAGTCGGTGATAGAGTATTCAGATCAATTGAAGAAAGTTCTGATGACCCTCGACGACTCGCCAAATTACCAGGCATCCTGTCTAGCGGCAATAGTAGGCTACCTGGAGGCACTGAATAGCAACTCCTTGCAGATCCGGGTCTGGACCCACGTCGCCGCCCCAAGTCGTACTCTCCTGTGCCCGGAAGATTCCCTGACTGTCCCTCTCCGCTGACACTATCCGCTGATAACGAAGAAGACGACCTTGCGGTGGAGGGTCGATTTAAGGAGGAGGTCGTTCGCACCGGAGACCGTCGCATCGAAGGAGATGACGGCCTCTTGGTGAGCCCTGCGCCGTTCAGATCTGGTAACATCGACTCCGACGCAACATCCGTATTTGTCCCTTTAGCTAACGGCTGGCCAGAGATAGGACGAAGGGTGGCTGTGACTCCGGAGCCTTTTCGTCCAACCAAGGGCGAAATGGGTTGTTTCAATCGAGGCGACAACTGAGATTGCTCCGAGATCTTATCCTTTAAGAAAACTTCACTCAACTCTAGTGACAGCGAATGCTTGGGGTTCGTAACCGAGGAAGACCCTCGTCTGCGGAGAAGAAGAGGAGATCCTGGTGGAGAATTCACTCCTCGTTCACCAGACGTGTTTGCCACTACAGCAGAGCCCCTTTTCCGCAGAGAAGGTGAAAAATTCACGTCCTGACCATTTGGCTCCTCCGTTTTTTGTTTCTCTCCTTTTGATTGCATCAACTCGGTCGTCGCTGATCCACGTCTTCTTGTCAACACTGGTGGAGCAGGATCCAATGAGTCATCCTCGCTCGCATCGTGCGTGGACTCTCGTCTTTTAACCTCCACTGAACTTTTCGCCAGCTGAATGAGTAGCTTCGGCGGAAGATCTGTTATTTCCGGGGCTGTTCGCCTTCTACGAGAACCGCGTGCGCTTTGAGAAAACACTTCCAGCACGTTCCGAGCTTCTGTCTCGTCTAATGCAAACGGTTCGTCCGGAGGCGTTCCGCACGGAGATGGCGCATCGGTCTGTACACTTCCAAGTGATGAGCGTCTGCTGTCTGGGTCTTGTTCAGAATCGTTCTCCTTTCGTTCATTATTGATCAAAATCGAAGGATTCGTAGACATAGAAGTCTCTCGGCTGTAAATGGACGCTGCTTCATCTAAATCTTCTTCTTTGGGTGACGCTGGCCTTAAACTCCCCCTGCGGGATGTACTTGGTGAGCGTAAAACCCTTCCCTGGGTAAAATTGACATTCAAATTCTCATCGGCGAGTTGTTCTTCCATATCTTGTGTGTTTCTTTTTCGTCTGATGTCATACTTCACGTCGAGTGACGTTTCGCATATTTTTACCATAGACTTTCGTTCCAAGTCTTTGATAGCTTTCATCTTTTTTTCGAGCTCCTTTTCCGCTAATTTCTCGTTCTTTAGCATCGTCGTTATCATACGATTACCGAGCTTTGAGAGACTCTTGTCTCTGGCTTTTCCCTTCGCCGACATTGTCCGTGTTCTAAGCTTAATCTTGTAGAGGAAGGTTTAAAGCTGTTCTGGCTACTCGACAAGCTAGCCCACCAATGGGAATTAGTCAACAACTGAGCAAATTCAAACCTTTTTACAAATGCAAAATAGCTCGCCTTGTAAGCAACGTACTTAAAGTGTACGTTGCGCTATTAAAAAACTCTCCGCCGCGGCGTCTGCATGCATGCCCTTGGTTTGAGCACTTTATACACTATTGTTTGTTGTCCGACCACATGCAAATTATCGTCGAATTTGTACTTGGAACATATTTGAAAATAGCTTAGGCACACAATATCGGTAATCTTGATTGGGTCTCATTGCCACGTAGTAATTGTTTGATTTGTTTGGTTACCAGGATTTATAAACAATTGGGCTATGTAATTAACGCACTCCTTGGACTCTAAAGAACTGAGTCAAGAGGTGTTCTTTGGCACAGAAACTAAGCACCCAACCACATGTCAGTAAAACGAAATTAAGTTATATTTAATTAGATGGCACTTTCCAGCGGACGGTTACCAAGACAAATGTATTTACGCCTTCTACCTGTCGCAAATTGGGGGAAAAAATCTCATATTGCCCGAGTCTTGTGGAAAAAATCGTGTTTGGCCACGAAACCCATATCCTTTAGTACTTAAGATCAGTCACGGTTAAATAAGTCAACTCATTTTGGTACTAACAGATATATTAAAGCAACTAAGGACTTACTAAAATGGTAGAATATTACATGATAACTTGGACCATAGTTGCTTGGACCAATTAAGCGTTTTTGAGCACTATTGTATTTCAGTAATACCTCTTTTCATGGGCCGGTCCCACAGGGAAAACGTGCAAACTCAACCGTAATTGAGATAAGCAGCAATAACTTTCAATGGATCACTTACAAAGTAGGAAACAATCGTAAACGGCGTTTTATTAACAACGTGATATCGTTGGTTTGTAAAACTAATATTCTGCTGGTGTTAGTTGGTTTTGAGAGAACTGTACAGTATACGCGGTACATGTCAAACGCGAGGCGGAAAATGAAAAAGATAAATTATGCATAATAGTATGGACACAGCCAATATCCAAGAACTAAGAAGCTCTTACATGTAAACATAAAGAAATCGCTGAATATAAAACTGCAATAGAAACCGCTTTCGATTTCTCCTAAAAACCGAAACCACCTTACTCACAGGATACTGTTAACAAATTCTTTACGAGATGGTAGCTCGGTAAACGTATTTCTGTCCACAAAGACCACAAGATCTTAAGAACAGAACGAATTGTTTCTGACTCCATCCAGGAACCAGCGAACAAAACGTTTTGACGTCTAATGGGGCAGGGCTGTTCACAAACACAAAGATTGCTCGAGACGTTTATAACGAAGCGTAAAAGTACAAGTTTTGAGGGCTCCATGTTTGAATGATCGCCACAAAAACGCGCAAAATCAAACCGAAAATCGTGAGCTAAATTTATGATTTCCCGCAACCGCGCGGTAATTTCTTAACCATAAACCGCCAGATAAATGTGAATGTACCCGCAAACCAGCACTCAAAATTGGCTTAAACCGCCAAATCGTCAGAGTATCGCCAACAAAAGAAGACATTATATGAAGAGGGTCAGCGGTAAAGTTTAACTAATAGCTGAGAATTCGTCAAAATTTCTAGCCGTCAGCTAAGTAAAAGTAACTAAGTAAACTAAATCTTTATTTCTACATGGTTGCCCGGCTGGTATCCATAGTGGCCCTGTAATGAGGTACAGGGCCCAAGTAATGAAGCATTTTTAAGTTGATAGCTGGGACCTACTCCGGGAAATTTGCTGGGATCTAAGATCTGCAAAATCTACTGATAGCTAAGAAATGTACTAAAATCATACCTGATACGTGAGAAATCGCGGCAAGTGTAACTCAGAACTGAGATTCCAGCAATCCGATCCAGAACGTTTATAAAGAGTCGTCGCCATTACATCCATTTTCTGGGTTATTGCTAAAGAAGACGGCATGTTGTCTAGAGAAATTTTGGAGTTGGTTGCAGCGGTCCGCGTGATTCGTGCCTGGCGATCGAGAAAGAAAAAAAAAACGCGCTAATGAAAACAATAAGCGTTGATCTTGGTTTGAAACTATCATCTTTATGATTGCAGGCTCTGCGAAAAAAGAACACTAGTAGTTATGTATACAACCGTTAACGGGCCACAAAAATCTTCTTGCCTTATTAAACTGAGGGGTGGCCGCATTAAAGGTTTGTTTGGGCCAGAATAAAGTGGCCGTTATAACAAAGTGGCAGTATAAAAGGGAGTGGCCGTTAGGCGGGGTTCCACTGTAATTCATGAATAAACAGAAGAGTATATGGATATCTGAATATCGATTGCGTACGGTTCCTGGTACAAATATAGGACAGATTTTCAAAACCAAAGTCATCGCAATGGCCAGTCACAGCAAAAACGAAACAAACTCACTGATGTAACCTGCGCTAAGCGCGGGGAAAACTGAATGCATAAGAAATGCAACAATTGGTCTTTTTTTTTCGGATTGCTTGAAACAAGCCCCATTTTCGCTCTAATTGGTTAGAGCTCTTTGCACGGCGTGATTCTTGGACCAATGAGAGAGCTGATAGAGCAAAACCAAAACTAACACATATTTACTTTCAGCGAAGGTAAATCTGAACTACCTCTAAACAGTATGAAAGAGAAATTGAGGGTATGAGTGACAAAGATCAAAAAAGACACTTACCATCCAAAAACACCGCAATGGACCGTTCTTGTCTTCAAAATTGGTGTGTTGACAATTCAGCTCGAGAGAGAGGCAAGTAAACTGATGCAGCGGTGGAGTTTCCTGTGCTCCTCACTCACAGGAAACAAAACCTACAAAGACAACAAAAAATACAGAAAGATGAATAAAATAAAAATGTCTTTTAGCAGAGCGGTTTTCAATTGAGTGTCCTAAAACGAAAACAGAACCAATTACTTACCAATTAGACTACTCAGCCAATCTCTAACCGCAGTAAAACCAAAACCAAAACCAAAGTAATTGCCTGACTAATTTGACTGTCCATTGAAAAGTGCTCTAAAGTATCTGTTACTATTTCCGGACAAGGACAACCTCGCTCGTGTGCGCACGTGTGCGAAGTAATAGACGGTGAATGGTGCTTTAAGAGGCCCTGCGGCTAAGAAACGACCGATGATTTCCGGCTAAAAAAGAAAATCGGCCGATTTTTATTTCCCAAGTAGAGNGTACTCGTAAAGAGATTTCGCCGAAGGACGGCAGCGATATTTTTCCCAGTATCAAAAGAATGTAAGAGAATTTGGCAAGCGAAAGCGGAAGTACAAAGTTCACGAGACAAGACACGCACCTTTGTACTATAAGTCGCGCATTTAGAATTAATTGCACTGTAAAACTACAGGTTTTTTTAAGTATTCCTAAATTTCACAGGCTTTTTGATTACGAGGCCATTCCTGCCAGTCAATTGCCCGAAAATGATAAAGATTCTTGTGTCTCTTCCCAGCAAAAAGTTAAAATGTAGAAAGCACTGATTTTTAAGATAGCTAGTTCAAGGAAAACTCCTGAATCGAAGACTAAGATCAAAGCGAACGAAGATATTGATGAAACTGATCGCTAATCGAAGGGTGTTGGCGCCCGACAAACACAGCTATCCATTTAAGGATAACAATTTAAAAATAAATAAAAAAATCAGTACAGCTGAACTTTCCAGCGATTGCATTGATATTGGCTGTCCAAGCAAAGCAACAACATAAAGTGAACCAATGTAAAACATAACAAGATCGAGATCTCACCGAAAATCCCTCCTGTCTGGCCATGCTTAACAACATAAAGAGATCCTGTGACTTCATTCTCCCAGTCAAGTGAAGTGTCTGGCTTTTCAATTCTTTTCCTTTCAATTTGATTCTCGTTCCTCGTGTCTTCTCTATGTTACGTCTGACTGTCGCAGCAGCTTGAACAGTCAAATTCTAAGAGAGGTAGATGTAAACACAGTTAACGAGGAGGGCGGAAATACAGGCAACTGAAAGAGGAAGTCCTTTAAGTTTGTTCCAGCTGCACAAACAACGTACCCAGGCTTCCGATAAGCAACCTCGTTCCCAGGCTCTCTCTTCTCTGCCTTGTCCCAGCCCCAGCGACAAGGCAGAGGAGAGAAAGCCTTGGAACGAGGTTTCCCGAAACCCAACCTCGTTCCCAAGGTGTTCATTCTGAGAGAGAACCTGGGAACAAGACTACTTGAAACTGGCGAAACAATAAAATTACTCAGCTGGAAGCAATTTTTTTTCTCGAAAATAGTGGCCCTTTGAGCAACCACATAGACTTCAGAGCCATCTTAAAGTTTTAAAAATTTGATAATATAAACTACGGTATCTAAAAGACAGTAATACTGCGGCACATTCTGTTGATAGTGACATATTTTACGCAGTGATTCATCTATCTGCGCGTTCTAAGATTTACATTAACCATTATTTCTTAAGTAGTAACAATTCGTAGTGTGTTGCTTAAAATCTGCCCTTGTACACATCAAATTCATGCATGATGACGCATCGATGGCGAGGTCTGACCAGGGATCGAGACAAAAAAAAAGCACGTAGTGATCTGAACTATGTTTGGACAACGATACACATCAACCTCCCCTTTACTAGAGAGCGAAAATCGTAAGATGTGGAAATGGTAGGATCAAAAATCTAACTTATTCTTTCTGTACTGGTGCACATTAAATGTGTCTAGAATGTTGACAGACTATGTCGAGAACGCGTCCATCGCGATGCGTGAAAATGCTAAAGCTTTAGCTTGAATTCCTGTTTGGATGAAAAGGAATAGATCGCAGCATATATGAAATTAGCGTGTTCTACGGTTTTCGTTTGTTTTAATTATTCTACAAGGATCAGTAACGACGATTTCTCTTCATTCAAGAATTCGATCAAGTTTAAAATTAAGATGTCACAATTAATCATAGTTAAAGTTAATCGTCTAGATTTACATACTTTTACATACTGCATTAAGAACAAAAGCAAGAGTTGTGAAAGTCAAGCACGATCTCCTTCACAGCGTTTTACAAGTACATCAGAGCAAACGTTACCACTAATCTTTATCACTGGAATCCACGCGAAAAAGGACGGCGGCTCGACGGTGTGACATCGTGTTGTTCGTGACGCAATGCACTCTGGTAAAAAGTGGCACTCTGGTAAAAAGTGACGCAGTGCACTCTGGTTAAATGCAATGCATTCTGGTAAAAAGTGATGGATTCGAGAATTCGTACCCCCTTCTATATATTCTTCTTCAATCATGATTATGTCGCTGCTCGCTCGCTACGCTCGCGCCGCAGCAATAAATTTCACTGTGCCATTTTTGAATTATAAGCCCCTAAGGCTGTAATTTAGGGTGCTTTTAACAGATCATACTGTTGTTATGATAACCCATTGTGTCATGAAAATGGTAAGAATTAACAACGTATTCACGAATGATTGGGTAGTTTTGTGATACCATGATTGTAGCACCGAGTGACAAAGAGTGGTTATAATGACCCATCAAAATCTAAGTGCTGGAAACTGTTTTGAGCCACCTTAATTAAGGTGGAATGGTACCCTAAAATATTCAAGACCCTTGAACACTTGTCGAAAACATTTTGAAACGATCTTGCCGAGTTTCCTGCTAGATGGATGTGAAATTTAAGGAAAGTACACAGTGGTATAAGTATTTTTATGTAGCAACAGCTCTAAACAGTAAGAACATGGCCAGAAATATAGATTAGTTTTAACATATATGAAACTGAGAAACTTGTAGAAAAGTTTAAAAGACATGTACAACTCGATAGGTATAATTGCTTGTGAAAAGCTTTGCCTGAAAAGGAATATTTCCTACAGCTGAGTTAACTTTTCACAAAATATAACAACCGTTACAGCCCCCCCCCCCCCCCCCCCCC